GTCAAGAAATTTCTCCCTTGGGACACGATCCACCAGAAGAAGCCGTGGTATTCATTGAATTTCTTCAATCAGAGATGCATACATGACACGTTGCACAGGTCAGTGGACACGGTAAGTACATGTGGAATTCATGGCCTTTTTATTCAAAAAGTACAGCTGATACCATCTGTGAAAAAACCGCATACGAAGCAGCCAATCCCCTGGATGTTCTCTGTATTCAAGAGGTGATGTTGCAACCTTAAGATGCTGACGGTACTTTTCCATTAAGGTTACAATTCGGGTGCTAATAGGGTATTTTTGAAGTTCACTGTCTTGCCCAAACAAACATTTTCTAGTATTCTAACCCTGAGATCAGTAGGAATTTTGGTATTAAAGTTGCGAAAGCTATTAATGGTGGATACAGAAGATTGTTTAGTAAGCACACGTTCGCCTTTGATATGTTTTTGCCAGACGCATGCATAAATGCAGTTGTGGGGTTGGTTAAATATGCGGACAATGATAGGCATCACACAGTCTTCATCCGTTAAATCTAATAGGTGGAAAATATGGCAGAGTAATTAGGGACAGTCTTTATCCCCTAATCTAGTGAATATGGGCAGTTTTGATAAATGAGATGAGAGGAAGACACAGAAAATTGCATGCAGATAACAGGTAAATTGGATTTCAGTCAAGGTGAATTGAGGGTCACAGAAAGGTCTGCGTTCACAGGTCCGGCCTGCGTAATCCACATATTTTAATTTACATCGCGAGCGTAGAAATGTATGGATCAAAAAACAATCCATCGAAAGCGAACTTCTGCTCACCAAATTGTTTTATGGCATTTGTCTTTAGCTAATATGCCGTCCTAGGTCGTTATTATCTTTTTTCCAAAATATCGGTGTAAAGAACGTCCTAGATGTGTAGAAGACCATCTTTAAATACTGCATCACAGATCCCTTTGTTACAGGAAATCAAACCTATACTTATTTTTCCATAGATTTTAGTCCACATCTCGCTCTTACATCTATTCTAACGGCTGCTCTTTGACGTCTGCGGTGATTTCCTTTAATATGGCGGAACAACCCCGTTAGGGAACTCCTTTTCCCATAGAAATTGGTCTAGTTACCGCCTATCGCAACCCCACGTTCACGAGCCGGTGCGCAGTTATTCAGGGATCATCATTCGTATAGAATGCCAACAGGCAGTTTGTATCAGTGAATAATCAAGCAATCTGTTAACACTATAGGAGAAATGTGGCAAAAGTGCCATACAATAAAGCCTGCCACCCTCAAGCTATCAAATATTTCTTCTTTCGACAATATGTCCTCCAAAAGTCACATGCGATCTCCTGTAAAATCGATTGTATAACGAGCCAGCCGTCTACGCATTCTGTGAGATCGACATCAAAAGTGGATGAGAGGAAATCGGAGCACAAATGTATCCGTAGCGTCACACAAAGATAAGAGAGAGTACGAGTCGACATTTAAGCTAGTTCCGTCTAGTAACACAACGATTTATGAGACAGGTGCTCCCGAATGGACTTGTACGTGCAACTTTAGAATTAGGCATAAAGTAAAAACGATTACTAGCTCTTGCGGGTTTAGCATAAACCCACTCATCCCTCTTTCTTCCTCTTCTGCTTCTACTCCACCCTCTCCACGAATTTGTCCCCCCCCCACCTAGGTGGCTCGAATGGCAGACGAATGCAAAGACTGTGTTGGGAAAGGCGGACGCAAAGAAGAGGGTCCCAACCCCTACTAGACACAACCTTTCTTGTGCGCCCATGTGCCCATAAATTTCTCTAATCTGACCTTTTTCCGGTACATGATGGGAGGAAGCTGGGACACAATTTAGAGGTGACGCGATAGAAGAGTCGGAATCCGGTTGAAGGTCTCCGCACAAATACTGCACAGGCATTCCGAACATTAGACCTGCTACATCTCGCGCATCAGGGAAGAGGAAAAAATGTGGGCCAACCCAGGTTTCGACGAGACGAAGGGGACTACTTGATGACTCAGTTCTTCTTAGACCGTTTGAGGACTGTACAGCGGTGACTGTTTCACAGGCAATCACGTAATCTCCATTGCATCCTCAAATGCTAAAGATTATAGTCAATAATTTATTAGTAGGGAACGTCCGGCTGTGTTGGTATGCGGTCTGTTCAGACTACACTGGGGTGGCATAAATCATCACAAAGCGTTTATATGTTTTATGTGAGTCAAGCGTTCCATATATTTTTGTATTATAATATTATGACATTTGGGCAATTTTGTAAATCGCGCAGTGGACAAGTGGGGAACAGTAATGACTTTTCTATGACTACCCCTTAGAACATTCCCGAATACAGTACAAATGATTACTCGACAGAGAAGACGGTTGAGACCATTGTTTAAGATTTCATCAAAGCATGCTAACCATTTCTTGCTTGCTGGTCTCGAAATAGGACCTGGTCATGGGGTTTTGGTTATCTAGTTAAAGATCGCACCGCGAACCATGTGCTCAATTCCTGTCAGCAGTAATTAGGAATGTTCAAATTCCCCATCTGACCACCTGTGAGGACTCCAGACAGGAACTTCAAGGCAACAGTGAACGTCTGGGTTTAGTACTAAACTCGAGATAAATCCGTGGAGGTCGCTCACATGCGACCCAAATGCATTAGAGCTAGCTGGCCGTTCAGTCGTTAGATCGAAGTCGGAGGTGGCATGTAGAGTGGACGGAACATACCCTCAACTATGACTGTGGGCCGAGGTAATGACTTCACTCGAAGGAACGCTCAGTCGATCGCCACATAAGCCTGCCTGAGCCCCATCTACCTGTTGACTCTACATGAAAAACGGAAGTTCGTTTTGATCCCCAGTTTAACACTGTGACCAACGAGGACGGGAGCGACAATGATCATGAAGAACTGAGGGTCCGAGTCGCACGCGGCATGGGTGATCCAACTGTCATTCAACCCACGCATGTTACAATGAGAGGTGCGCATTGATCTTTTTGATCTTCGAAGATGGTTTGTCAAAAACGCCGCTTGAACGCCAGATCCTACGTATACCGTTCAGTAGGAGGCCTCTCCTTCGTCTATTTTGTCATCTCCGCATCGCATTTTCATTCTCATCGATGCACCGAAACGTAGGTAACAAGACCTGAACCTTTGAAGCAATGACGTCAAGGGTTCTACGCTTGAAGTCCTATTTGGGGAATTGTTATGCTTTGTTAGCGCGCACACATATGTTTCCCTCACCACGACTTTGCCAAAATTTTCCCAACAAAGCCGGTGGTCTCTTGTGCTTTAATTTCTGCAGCCTTATTTTGTTTACTTCATTCGGGTTCCCAATCTCACGGCTCGTACCGAGGAGAGCATTTAGTTGTTCGCTCTGGAAAAGGAATTGTATCGTCGGGACTGCCAGTTTAACGGAAAGCATTTTTATCGAGCACAACGCACTACGACGTATAAAACTAGGTTCTTTTGCCTGCTGAAAACAAACCGTTCTCAAATTAAAATTTATGGGTTTCTTAAATAATTGTGCATAAAAAAGAATTTGGTAGGTCAAAAGGAAACTCAGTGAGATGCAGTGCCTCAACCCAGTTCAGGATTAAAGGTTACCCCTGACGTTTCGGTAATTTATGCATGCCACAAAACATAAAGATTACTTGCACGAAGCCTGACACCAAAATTCATAGAGTGGTCACGCGAATTAAAAATCAGGTAGACAGAATTGAGCAGTGATCGCATGCCACTGCAGCAAAGATGCTAATTACATTGTCAAAATGAATAACCAAACAGCACGAATAAAGTACAATGAAGACTACTTTGAAAATAAGTGGCCATCTAGAAGACGTCATTCATCGCCAAACTTTTAAATTCGTTCGAATGAAAGTACTTACAGGGTGTTTGACTGGATACAACCTGACATTATGTCAGGTGCAGCACTGTGGCATGCACCGAAGGCATGATGAAAGATCTGCTAGGACTAGACGAGACCACGTTATATTTTATTCTTTGACGATGTCGTATGGCAGGAATTCATATCCCGAAACTAATAGTATGTCGAGTGTTAACTGTCCTCTTCTCCCGAATTAGTTCCATCATCAAACATACTTATTTTCTGACACAAAAATGTACTTTATTGTAAAAATAGGGCAGGTTACCTGCAACAAGAAAAGTCACCAAGAGACTTATCACTGCTTGTAACAATTAGAATGTTTTATATACTTATTTGTTTTATCGACTTTCTCAATCTTCTCAATTGGATATTTACTCTTTTAGCACGAAAAATCGTCTTCACATCAGAGGAGTCCAATCCGAGAAATACTAACTAACTAATAAATAGATCTTTTTGACACTTCTGACAGAGGTGGAAAGTGAACTCAGTATTTGGAGTTGTCAGTTACTTTGATTGTTCTCCGAGCTACTTCATGACAGCCCCAACAGAACTCCAAAAAGATAAAAAACATAGGCTCTTGTTGGCAATAACATCATACTTAAATTCTGGAAATTTCCAGTCGTTATTTCTCATAATTCGTGACTAACTTAATAGTAAGCTCTTTGAGTACCTGAATGAGGCGCGCTAGCGAAGCAAATGGATATTTCGGTAGCAATCTCTCCCCCCCCCCGATGGACAGAAAACACACTATTGCAAGATTCCTGCAGCGGAGCTGACTAAATGAAAAAAGGAATTTTTAGATGAAGAAGAAACATATTTGAATCATCAACGCCGTTATATATTCAACGTATATTCGAAACCCTCTTGAGTTCGATTTGGCGTCCAGAGCATTTTTCTCCGACCACTAGGTTGATTAGCGTTCCAATGATAAGAACGTCTATACTACAGTTGCCCAATCTTTTCTCTTTAATCTGTAAAACGTTTCCAGACCCTAAACCGCCCTTTAGAGTCACCAACATCAAACCTCCATGAGAACTGCTGCGATTATTTTTAGTGTCGTTGCAAGAAGCATTAATGACAATTCTTAAAAATGCGTCACGGGATTAGAAAATGCCGAAAATAAGAATTTGGCCTATCCTCAAATGTCGCTGCATGGCATTTCTGGTAGTCTGAATAAATATGCCCGTTTCACGGATGGATAGATACGCGAACATTAAGAGGGTATGCGGTGGTCGCGGGAATAGGGATCAATTATAACTCGACTGTGCTGTAAAGGAAGTGGAATTGGAGTTTCCGAATGCGCTATCATTGGTTAAAATAACCCATTTACTGAAATTGCATAGGTTGATCGTCAATAACTGCCCAGGCTCTACTTTCCCAGCGGTGGGTCTTCATACCTATTTAGACTAACAATAAATAGCATTTCATCCGACACAACAGTAAAAATTCAGCAGCCTTGGTGGTATTCGAACCAACGATAGCAAGGGCCAGGCCTTTATGCAGTCCACGTTCTAACCGCCTGAACTACGAGACCCTGACCGGGAGCCGCGAATTTAATCACACGTTTCTTGCGCATTCGATACAGAAATTTTGATACGGTAAGCTGACTGCCTAAACAGGATTTTCTAGACAATCTGGAATCCGATAGATGACTACCAGGTTCACTTAAGTAATAGGTATTTTGACAGATTGGCATAGTTCATCCGGACAACACTGTTTATGTCCAATGGTTCGAATTGAGAAAGAAGCGTCCGCTGACGCTGACACAAAGTTAGCAAATTATTATAAATTTTCAAAAAGTAAAAACAAGATATTATATCTTAACTACACACTGCAAATGGGATTTCACGTCGGAATTAAAAATTGCGAATCACAGTAAAATTTTCGAGCCAATTCCCCAACATATATTAACGTTGCGGTCTATTGTAATGTCAATGTATTTGTGTTACATTGTGGCGCAAGTCTTCACAGAATAAATATTACTCTTTCGGACTTTAAGCTAAAGCATCTGAGACGTGCGGTAGATGCGCCACCTCATGAAATGTTAACCAAAATTCTCAAAATAGTTTTTGATTTGAAGAGATTACTTAAGTAGAGCTGCACTATTCGTTCTCCTGCTGCATAATCTCAAGATATTTCAGCCACCTCAGGATGTTGACTTTAAAATGCATTTCTTTCCGGCTGCCTGCTAAAACAACACTTTGTAAAAAGTAACTAAATATGTAGTAGGATGTTTGATTATCGATTTTAAAGCCCATATAACTTCAAATATTTTTGCAGAAATGTGAGTAAAATATTTTGTCCTTGTGCTTATTTGGTGGCAGATTGCGTCTCATTCAAATATTGCGCTTGAAAGAGGAGTATCTTTAGGTTTAAGAAACTTGTTTAGCTCGGAAATAATTTCGACCCTGCCTGCTGTCACATTTGCACCACACTTACATTACAGGCAGTATATCTTCTCTGTAAGGGAGAACATACATTTTGATATACTATTAAGAAAACCACGCCGACTGGTGAGAGGAAAGAGGTGAGGGTTGATGGCCAATTATTCAGGGCCGGTGACTGCATGCAAAATCTGGCCCGGTTACGGAAAAGACAATCACTATGTGGTCGCCTACCTGGTAGAAGACCTTATACCAGGTCGACCAATAAATCCAGACTTATTTGCGATCATATTTCAACTTACCTATCAATCAGAAAGATGAAGAAAGAGAGGAAAAACAAATAAAGCTAACTGGAAGCGGTCTTGGATTCAGTGACTGAAACGGACACGACGTATATTCTAGGATAGCAGCAAGAAAGCTAGATCCCCAGCATACAGCCAGCGACCAATTTCATGAAATATTAACTGGAATTCCGAAACGCGTCTCTGATTAGGAAAGATTGCTCAAATGGGACTGTAATATTGATTGTCTTGCAAAATAATTTTAACATATTTCAGACACACGTTAGTCTTACGTTAGGACTCTTAGGTCGTCCATTATAAGGGTGATTTTCGTATCATTTGGATAATAACGAGGAAGGCACGCTCTGAGATGACCGCAATTTACATCGACCCTCACTATGTTCCAGTCGAAAGATTACAGCAAGTGAAAGGAGAGTAGACTGTTCACAGCCGAGAACCAATTACCTATCTTTGGTCTATTTTGAGACTGGTGCTTTCTTTTGTCAAGACAAACAGATTAAACACATGCACATATGTATATACGAGGCTGTAGGAAAGTCTTTTTCCAAAAATAAGTGAGATTTCTTCGACTGGACAGAACATAAAGCTTTGCGAGTACAGAGAGGAAAATCAAAAAAGCGGGCGAGGCAAACCCTCTTCTACAAGGTGGAATGTCTCCCTAGATTTTTTAAAATTCCTGCCTACATGCAAGTGTTATGACTGATTTCGGGAGCCACTTCGCTGCAAGTACACGCTCTTTAACAGGCTCAAAGAAAATATACGCTGATCTTCCGTAAAAGTCTAGTGGAAATTATCGCCATTGAATATTTCCAACAAGAATATTTTTAAAACCGAGCATGATCGGTGAGCGTTCTTCCACCATTTTATAAACCTGATCGCAGCCGACTGGACAAAGAGCTCGCGATTCAGTAGTTTGAGACGTTGGAATTTCAACCAACATATCGCCTGATCGAGACCCATGTGTTCCACATCTCGGGTTTGGGTATGACTGGCTAACGACGGTTAGTGGACCAGAATAGGCATTCCAGTCTCCTTTGTCTTCGTCGGAAGTACTATTCTACCTGCATCATGCGCCGCTGTGCGGCTGCTGGAGGGGCTCGAGAGGGAGATCCCCAGGGCACAACGGGAGGAGAGTGTTCTGTACTAGCTTTTCGGCCTCTAAAAGCAACAACAACAGTAGTCATACAGTCGCAAACATAACTTTCGGACTCGTATTTTCGTTATTTGGTTTTAGTCATCAAGACTCTATGTAAACGGAAATGCGAGTTTCAGGAAAAAAATTTAACGAAAAGACACACTCTATAGGCTGTGACCTTTGTTTTCTTGATGCTTTGGATCGACCCTCGAATCCGTCATCAGAAAAAGTGTTCGATGTTCTCTCTGATGATGAGCGTAGAGTATAAATTCAAAACATCAGGCGAACAAAGGTGTTAGTTAAGCGATCGAGTTTTCTTCTGTGTAACCGCCATTTATAGGTAAAACCCTGAAAGTAAGACTATAACAGATTATTATAGTAAGTCGAAATTAGGTTTCTTTTCAAACTTTGCGATTTTTCCTAATTCACTGTGTAGGCACATATCCCAATTTTATGTACAATTTCCTTTAGAATGTATCAAAATGTGTGTCCAATTGTCCTTATCAAATTTACACTCAAATCGAGATCTGCTGTTATTTTATGCATTTTTGTCCAGATGACAAATATCTGCAAATGAGCCACTGAATTTTAAGCTAACTCGGGCCCTGGACGGTTTTAAATTAAACCCCACCTGACCAACCTTATACAGGAAATGAGATTTGACTGTTTTATGCAAAAAACGCAACCTTCATAAGTATTCGGCTCCCTGAATTCGCGTAAAAGTACGTCTTAGATATAGCTCTCATAAATTAATTATTGTAATCTTCGCATTTCGCAATGCAAATGTCCCTCATCGTCTCTCTGAAAGAAAGTGCGCAATTTTTGCGCAGTCATCAAACTTCTAGGCGCACTTTAGATGTCCCAGGTTGAAGCTTAACTAGAAACACAGAAATCGTGGCTTAGTCGGAAAGTGATCCATTTTCTGGATACAGCTGATTAAGCGACAACATCTGGAGGCATGAGGCCTGTTAACTTTCCCCGTTTATCTTAAATCCTGACTCCTTCGATGTAAAAAAAACATACTATCGCCCCATCAAAGCCCTACAGAAACATGTTCGAAACAGACGTTTTAATTTAATATTTCGGAAACTATTTTATTAGTATAAATTCCTTTTTATATAGAGTCGTCATGCATACATTTAAGATTTCATATGCTGTTCAGTCGTCCCTCCGAGAGCTACATAAAGTCAAAAAGTAAATATAAAGGTTGTGGGCTGTACGAATTTACGTTAGTCTTCAGGTGCTTCTTGGCTGTGCCTTTCGAATAATGGATCATATTTTAACGTCACATATACATTCTGACCTAAAGAAATTATGTGCTTCATTTTGGTAGACAGCAGAAGCGGATGTGCGTAAAACTGTTTTTCTATTTTTGATTCCACTGCACGAATTCCCTCAAGTATAAGTCTGCTCACAGATCGTGTTGTTTACTCCCTTATGTCTTTTTTGAAATTTTTACCAGATTTTTCCAGAATGGAAGTTGCTTTGAAGTTAGGATACTGTTGATATAAATCAAAAGATAGAGTTTCCTACTAATTACGTCCCTTTGAGACCATAAAGAAGCAGTCAAAATTAGAAACATGAATGAACAAGCACGGCAGCTGCCGTCGGTCTAAGATTGTCATATTGTAATATATCCCACGGACTGCCTTGTTAAAATAATTTACATATTTCGGAAAAGTACTCCGATAAAATTCGGCAACTATTCTAGTCTAACTAGACTATTCCGATTTAACGGATTGGGTTAGAGAGACCTTTTGGACCTCTGCCTGAGACCAGTGACAGGCAAAAAAGCTCCTTTAATTAGATAAATACAGGCTACTTAGAGCTATTGCTCTTTAACTTAGCATAAAACGTTAAGGTATTAAGCTGTTGCAATCACAATCGTTTCAAATTTAAACGAAGTAACTGCACTTCATACATCATGCTATTTCTGGATAGAAGTCGAAAATGCTTTCACTTGATATTTTATTGAATATCTCGTAAACACGAAGACATTTAACAGAACTTTCTTAGCGGTGGCTAAAGCTAAATTAAGCGGTCAAGATTGCCAGGCACAATCCCGCCGTCTGTTAATTGTGTTTGGTTTATGAGAGCCTTTGTCTAGCACATTGGAAGGAAGTTGCCGGAAGAGCCCCAAGGCTCTGGGATCGATGTGCTAATAATCCATTTGTCATGCGCGAGCCTATTGCAGCGGGTAACAAAACGTCTGGATCTTCCCATGAGATCAAAAGTTATTCTTAAACAGCTTCTTAAGTTCGTAGAGAAAGTCCAACTTATAGAAGAAAGTTGGGGATTAAAAATTTGAACGTATGAAATGGTAGGTATAAAAAATAAATGGCAGATATCTTGACTGTCGACTTTATAAGGGGTATGGTTCTGGCTTTTGAAGAAGTGAAAGGAGTGAGTTACGTGCAGGTTTTTTAAAAAGGCGTAAATGACAATCCTTTGCGGACGCCGACACAGGCTGTAACCAAGGCATACCAAGTCTGATGAGCAAATTGACATTTTCTTTCTCACCTTCACTAAAGCGAACCGGCCTGCCAAGTCGTCTTGATCTCAACTTAAACCTCCTTTGTTGATACGTGAGTATGACTAATGCTTAATCAGTTATCTGTAGACAGGTTTCTCAAGGGTCTTTTAATTTCTATCATATAAATTGAACGATAGGCAGTTGTTTTCTAAATTGCGTAAAAAGTGACAATAAGCCTCTATAAGGCCATATTCAAACTGAGTTTGTAGCCATTTCTGCAGAAACCAGTCCCACCTATTGGTGGTTGCCTTGAGAATGTGTTATTATGCCTAGAAAGTAACAGTCTAATAAAACGTATCGGCCAGAGTTATTGCATGAACTTATAGCTGATAGTTGCGCTGCCTTCATGAAACATATACGCTCTTTACCGTGTTGTCGCAGTTTGTTTCTGTTGAGTGAAGATTAATTTAAAAACTCGAAAAGGTCATGTACATAATGTGAGTGTTCACTTGTAGGAGTAAATGCGCCCACATGTAGCGTTTGACAACGGTAGCTATAGGACACGGATCATAAGAGTACAAAAATATTGGCCCAAAAGGTATTTTTAGGATTTGGAAGTGGGCCCCTGCTAATGAGACTAAGCAAGAGGGCAGTAGGTCTGCACATAAAATGCACAACCATTCTCCCGAAAGATTTCTATATTTCAGTCAACATGTTTCATCAATTTGGCCGTCCACAGTATTTCGAACGATTCTTGCGTCATTGCGTACTTTCATCCCACCAAACGTGTTGACCTGCCGTAAGCTAAGGCCTTGTAGACAGCAGTCATTTCGCCCCGAAACTGATAGAAAGTTACAGACACTTGACGTACGCGTGCGAACAAGTCCTGTTTTGGCTTCACCAGCTTATCATCTTTCTACAATGCCGTAAAGGGCATATAGGTACTTCCCAAGAATTTGGCGCAAACACCTTTAAAACAACAAAACGAGTGCAGCAATGAGGTAAAGTTCCAGTAATAGATGAAAATCAGGGGACCCTAAAATCCTATTGGTTTTTTCGGGAGAAATAGCATGTAGTCCGTGCAGAGAGCAGGGTTACTCAACAACCACACCCAAAAGATCGTGTAGCCAATAGGTTTATCCAGATATTACATTTCTCCATGCTATAATACATAGTTGTCGCTGTTTACCAGAAGACCATCTCTCTTCCTGTTAGTTGCCCAAATTGCACAGTGCTGTTGTAGGTTAGTGGGGGTAGTGCTCCGTTCATTGTCAGCAGCCGACCGCAAACCCAACCAGAGCGCGCTGAACACAGTCCGCCGGTAGTAAAAAGAAAGCTTGGCTAAGCTGCTACTCGCCAGACAGTGGTTTTACTAAACGATATAGCGTGGGAGACGACTTCCCAAATTCTGAGATGGACATTCCCCTCTCCTCCTCGCGTACACAAATCTATGGTTCCGGGTCTCTGGACGCAATTTGCCATGTTATAGCGTGGAGCATTCTTGTGGTGACTGATTTGTCGGACGTACTAACGCTGCATGTTATAAAACCAGTTAGTCTCCACGCCGGGATCTTTTGGATTTCCCAGCTACTCAGTGCAAGGGAATCTTCGTTTATTCACACCCGCGGACTACCTCGGTTGCCCAGAGTTCGGCTACCAGCTAAGCCGAATCTCCTCGTACTCTGCTGTCCAAGTTGAACGTATTGCCGGAGCCGGCAATCTCTTAATAGGCAGCCCAAACGCCGCGCGACAGGAATTGCTCCAATACCATCTCCCTATGACATGGAGCAAGGGGTCAAGATGCCTTTGCTGAAAATCATATAATATGAAACTTTGGAACGGTGGGTTAGGTTTTTCGGTCTCTATTTATTGCGATGAATTCGCATTCGGAAGAAGAGTGAAATTAGTGACAGAGCTGATAAACAGTGTTCCTTGTTTAAAAAACATGGAACGGCAAGGATTTCCACCGCCGTTCATTGTTTGTTGGCGCCACTTTTCGTGACTGGTGAGTATCTAACGCTATGGATTTCAGTATGTCTAACGCAGTAGAACGATCATTGGCAAAATGCATCTGCCGCCTGCAACACAGACAAATTTCTAACGGTCAGCCAAGCTTAGGTTTTCATTGATCGCAGTAACTGATTTTCTACAGGAGGGTTTCTAACTTAAACATCCCACAGATACACGTTTTCGAAGTAATTTACTAACAGGATCTGACTGAGGAAATCCACATCAACATGTCTGAACTATACGCACTTACAAAGTAGAATATCCATAAAGTAATCCGATTTCAGCAGAAGCAGACGATAACCTTATCTACGTTAAATACTGAGTCTTCTGAAGTCTTGTTAAATATGTACATCCGACAACATTCTGAAATCAGGTCTCACAAACACCTGACAGACTAAATCCAAACTAAGAGAAACTGAACATTACTTATCCTCAACAAAATAGTTTTGGCTCTGTTCCGCATTTTATACCACACACACATTATTTGTTCTTTTATGCTTATGTTTTTTGAATTCTGAAGGACAGAACCTACCCTTTTCGGTTTCGCAAAATGTTGCTGAATAGTATTCAACTACACTTAACAGATCCGCTTAGCAAGCAAAAGAAAATGTGTGTTCTGACAAAATCCCGACTTTATTGCCGTTGGTCAGGTTCTCATTAGCTTTTGAACTGGCATCCTTCGTCAGATGAAGCGAATATTCATTCGATAAGTTCGGAGGTGCACAAGACCATTAGTGAGTTAGATATCAGTCATCTTAGTGGACGAGCCGGAAATAACAGTAAACGGCTTCGGGTTCGACAAAGAAAAATGAAGCGTCGAAAGGTGCGATCTCCACTGTCGCCATTGCGGACAATTTTTAGGCAAAAGACATTTCGTTCTTTTATCTCGTCTGTAGTTGCAAAGTCAAGACACTACGCTGTCCAGAATCAGCCCGCAATGGGAAAGTCTGAGTCGGACTTAACATACTTTTAAATTCTAAAATAAATCCATCATTCTCGTGACAACAGTTGTAGTTCCAAGATGTAAACCGATTTCTCTGCGGACAACTTAAATCCTCTTTACCTTTTCTTCCTCTTTGTATATCTTGATTAATCAAGCTAAGTATTTCAGTTTCTTTGGTACAGTTCCTCATTACGGTCTTCTGTGATACCCTTAAGCCCGTGTAAATCCGGACGACATCATCTGAAATTGCATTTAGCTTCGTCTAGTATTTTAGTAGAGATTATGCATCCAGACGCTTGTTGCGGAACAAATAGGGATAACCAGGAGTCCGATTTGCAAGCAGATGCTCTTCCTCCGAACTACTAGAAGCAGTCTTGCAAAGTGTAATAGGTGTTACCCTACGCGTGAGTGCAATTTAGATTTAAAAAAATACACTACGGTGCTAGGGAATATTTTTATTTTTTAAATGGACTTGTTTTAGTCTGATCAAGTATCCTTTTAACTTATAGGCAAAATACCTCGAAAGCATGTTAACTTGGAGTGTGACAGCAAGTAAGAATATTTAACTTTACCGAATATCAAAGACCGAGTCTGCTTTGTGCAACTATGCGCCTATTTAAAACCATGCTTAGCTTCTAAAAATATACACGCAGTGGAAGCCCTACTAGAACCTCCGCTCTGAAAACATCACGGACGCATTTATTTGTCCCTTCCCCGTAGCCCGGCTGGCCCTAGCAGACGCCCTAAATCACCAACTTAGGTATGCACATTCTTGTGAAAATTCCTTTCTTAAAAAAAGTAGGGCCGAGTTCCCGTCATTTCGTAAATGCGGGTGGAATTTGCACAATATAAGTTGGAACATAAAGGAATCGACGAAAATGACTTATAATCACTTATATCCTACGAACTGCAAATTTTCAAAACATAAAAATGCAACTTTAATTTACAATAACGGGCAAGACTAGGGAGGCTCGTATAGTCACACTAAATTTGAAAGGTCCACTGTACTGAACATTTTTGCCTAAAATATATTTAAATTATTTGTCGGGGCGCTCTTCAAATCGACAGGGACATTTAAGAAAGACTTTGTTTGAGACTCATTTCATCTCCCTTCGCGGAGGTCATTAAGCACAACGGTCTGGTCGTTAGACCGACCCTCCGCATTGCAAAGTCTTCGTGGAGGTTCAATTTCACATTTATCTATGACTGTTTTTCAGTCCCGTTCCATTTGATCAAATTTTTATCCTCAGAAAAGAATGGAATAAGTAAGAAAATATTCCCCAAAAATCGTAGCAGCAAAGACGTTAATGTCTCCGTGTATATCAGAATACTAGTGTTTTGATTCATTTTAGATGTCGCTAGTTAAATGAGTTAACTTTTCACAAAACGGCTCCGAACCTACGCTTTAGTTTCTAAAAGGGCTTCGTTTCAACCGGCACGTAGTCACTCTATTGTTAGTCGTTAGACCCATGTCTACTCAAGTAGAGCTCTTAAGAAATATTTCGCGTTAATCTGAAAATATGAATATTGAAGATGCCATAGAATAGGGCTATCCAAGGAGTACGGCGCGGGAAGGGAAGTTTTACTTTAAACAAGGAGTCTTTAAACAAAGTAGCCATGCTGTTATTTTACTGGGCAATCAACAACACGTTCATAGCTTGAAGAGATAGAAATCCAGAAGCTAAGACTTCAATTGTCCCCATAATAATCGTTCATTTTGTGCTTAACAGTTTGAATACGGAATAATCTATTAATGTATTTACTGCCCATGGCGAATGAAGCCAATTTTTTGCTGAAAATGTTAAATTTGCGGTTTTCATATAGAACGAATTACTATCTCCCTATCTCTCTCACCTTATCCCCACGCACAATAAACGGGACATGTCTCGTCTTAGCAACAGTTAATTACATAGGTCTGTCAGTAATTCCCCGCAAAACATCTGAAAATTTCTCAAATTATTAAAAAACCAACACGTCTGACAGTCCAGTAGAAACAAGCGGATTTTATCTATTTTTCTGCAAGATGCGTGAAAATATTAAATGTCTGTAATGCAGTGTTTATCAAGTTGTAACGTCTTGTGGTGTATTACTTTATCAAAAGCCAGAATAGCGACAGGAATAGAAAACGTCAAATTGGTTAATTTAGTGCTAAATCTTATTCCTTGGCGTTTTGGCCTAGGTGTGGCAGGCTGGGCACATAAGACACAGCGACCGCTGAAACAAAAATGCCAAATTTCCCTGTTCCCGTGTGAACATTATTCATGTGAGTGCAGTGCAGAGGGTTGACGTCCCCACCTCCCTCAGCCCACGGCAAAAGTGCATGGACATTTAGGGTTTCAGCGGTCTTCAAGTGGAAACTGCGGTTATAGCCCCTATTAAAATCATTATGACTCTTTTGGCAGGAGTCTCTCTTGAAAAAGGATGCACCACAAAGTGCACTTGCCATACGCACATGCTGCCCTGACTGTTTAACTGCAATTAATACAAGGGCTTGTTGCGAACCCGACGCTCTTTTAACCACCGCTATTCTTATAAATGTTGTTCGACTTTATTTATGGCGGGAGACCTATTCAGTCGGAGTTGGTAAGACCAAAATAAAGTCAGCTGTTCCGTAGGCAGACTTTCCTGACGTTTTACTTCAACGACCATTACAGTACAGTATTTCAAAGGGGTATTCAAATCAGCGGAGACCAGGCGTTAGGCATTTATGAACATAGCCAGCATTTGGGGTGCGTTGGCTGGCCCATTTGCAGGCGCATGTCACGCCAATTGAGATTCGGTCGCCTCCCATTTTCGTTTTCCTTATTGTTAAAAATTCTGATCAAGTGTTTCTCGTGAACTAGGTGGTGATGGTGGTGGTGGTGGTGGTGGTGGTGGTGGTGGTGGTGGTGGTGGCATGCCTGAATGCAGATCTATAATAAGTGGGCTACCTCATGAAATCTCAACAGAAATTCCGAAATGCGTTTCCGTTTTGAAAAGACTAATTCACTAGGGTTGTAAAACAAATCATCGTGCAGCATAATTCTATAATAATTTAATTGCTTCAGGATGCCGCCTTCCGAAAGAACTTCTTTCCGGCTGCATTCAAAAACCATACTCAGTAAAAAATGACTACATATGTAGCATGAATTTTTTCATTGATTTTCGGTGCCCCTAAAAATCCAATTATATTACATGGAGAACATGAATAAAAATATACATTCTTCCGCTCATTCGGTAGAAAATTACATCTTCTCAAAATTTTATGCTCGAAGGAGATATATAATTCGGTTTTAAAAAGTTTCTTATTGTAAGACTGTTAAATACCCTGAAATGGTCGTTCATAAAACGTCATGTATCTGCATTTACCAATGTTGCTTGAAAAGTTAACACTATGGATCAAATCCACTGCCAAATTTAATGAACCCCATATGGTCTCCTCTCAGTACCGTAGAGAAATGTGTGGTTTTCCTTACGCGGAAAATACATGGCTTGTAGTTTTGAAAGCCTGAATGCAATTTTGACGGCAGAGCAGGTTCAAACCTATTCGGGAATTAGAAACGTTTTATAAAACCAAATTATACCCTTCCTTCAGTCGTAAAATTGAAAGAAGACGTAATTGTCTACAAAACGAGAAAAAGAATAAGTATTTTTATGCATATTTTCCATGAAATATAATTGAATCTTTAAGGCCATTGAAATTCAATGAAAAATGCATGCCACTTATGCAGTCATATTTTACGGGGAATGGTTTTTAGACGCAGCCGGAAAGAAGTTTGGTTGACAGCCTGCATTCTAAAGTAACTGAATTAGTACAGAATTATGCTGCATGATGATTAGTTTTACGACTCTACTGAATTATTCTTTTCGAAGCAAAAACGCATTTCGGAATTTCATGAGTTAGCCCACTTGCTGTACGTCGTGCCAGCTACCTGCGTCTTCTCTCGCCTCCATTCTTCTTGACTTGGTCATCACACCGGGTCCTTGGGAGAGAAGGAAACAATTCGGCCGATGCAATGAACATTTACAATCACAATAGGCTAATTCGCGCACAAGTTGCCGTCCATGTTCTCATCCTGCTGTGGAGCACGCGGTGGACACTTTCGGCATCGAGGATCGAACTGGTGAGCAATGAGTGAGGAAAAGAAAACTTGCTGCATGAAAACGTTTGCACGCTGTCAAGGAAGACGGCGAAGCCAACACTCTTGGCGGCAGTTCCCTATGACTGTAAGTGATACACCACTTAGACCAAAGGCGTTTTTTCCGTCATCTGCTGTCCTCTTGAGTGCTAACCACTGACCTGTCTGAGAACGCCCGTCGCTTTATTCCGACCAAGAAAGCGTTGTTGGGGAGACTGTCAGTCAGTTGCAGACAGCTTACACAAGACCCACAATGAATACTACACCGAGACACCACTACGGAAGCGGCAGTGGGGGATTCAAACATAACTCGACAAGTATCGTCTGAATTTCCCTGAAGATCTCAAGAGAAAAAAGAATGTATATAGTTACCTGGTGTATGTAAAAGCAGTAGCTAAGTCGTTTTTGCAGAAACTTCATACCGGAATATAGGCGAAGAGGCTGGACATGAGACTTAACGCACGTTCGGAATTTATGACAGTAAAAAAATAACTTGATACGCTTTCCAAATTTTTTGTATTTTCAAATGTGTCGACTCAGTTCTTTGTCTATGCATTAAGGTGGTTCCAAAGGAGGCTCTCTTAACCCCATGGAAATTTCTTTACACAAACGAAAAAGTAGTATTTGTTGTCGCGCAATATCTGTCATTGTAAAATGCCTTGCTGAGTCGATCGAGGGCAAAAGAAAATTTCCTAGATACTTATCCACTAGAACTGTATACCGTAAGTGTCATTCAAAATTACTGCTACCCAGTATAACAGAGGAGGGTTGCGACATCAGCGTTACGTTTAATATTATATTAGGACCAACCCAGTATGCTTTAATTTACGAACGTCGTAATGTCGTGTTTCATATCGACCGCTGCTTAGAAATTTGTTGGTAGTTACAGAGGCGAATGTACCGAGCAGATGGCCAGCTAGAGAAGGTAGAATGAGAATGGAATGACAACTTATATTTTCTTTGAAACCAAGGTCTCTAGGTATCTAGTCTCAAGGCCGGACGGAATTGCCCATTCATGCCCTCCAACTGGAAAAGGTCGCGAACACCAGTTTTATATGCGGTTTTAAGTATCACCGGTCCCATTCGAGGGGACGTTGGTCCGAGGATCAAGAAAGGAAGCATCTGACTCAAAAATACCTCATGGCCCCTAGACTTCTGCTGAAATCTCAGGTGTCAAGCCTGGGGTTAAAGCACTGTAACACCTGAAAGGGCTCTAGATACAGAGATCCAAGTAAAAGTAAAAATGCCCATTATCATCCTATAATCATCTTAGGTCGGTGAACACTTCCTCCAGATGTGACTTTAAACGCAGGACTGTTTGTTATGATTAAAAATTATAGAGATTCAAAACCTTCGCGATTCCTTATTTTTCCTAGGCGTTAGCCGTTCCCCACGCTATCCGGAGGACACAGACAGGAAGAAGATGAGGAAGGAGGAGGAGGAGGAGGAGGAGGAGGAGGAGGAGGAGGAGGTGGAGGAAACGTCGGTAGTCTACCCCCAGTCCGTACAAGTGTCTGTGTTACCACCGCCCACGTACTTCATTTTTGCTAGTGGCAGTTAAAATCACTTGGCGACCGACGCAGAACGTGGTTATTCCACATTGTCTTTCCCGCAAAACTTTTCTCAGTCACAATGTGTTTGGTGGGCCTGTATTCTACAACGTCCTTGCATTTCTCCACAGTGCTCTTGAGGCCACAATTTCTGCTGACAACTGAATAAAGCGCCGATATCCCTTCCCATCGAATAAAGGGCATCATCTTGCTGATGCAATCATAGTCCTAACGTATCTAATGCCCTGTTTTCATGAGCAGGAGGCTTTTATAATGACAACCGGAAGCACACCACTTTTCCCACTTCAGCACGGCTCGTTTATTGTCTAGAGTGGATTCCGACAAATACGGTCGCCTTTACATCGGACGAGGGTAGATATACGTGCACTATCGCATGTGTGTTCCTTGGAGGGAGATCTTCAGTCAGAAGGGTCACAGTGGGCTGGAAGAAAAGCGGCAGCTACAGACGCAGTTTCCACTGGACAGCCGTTGCTTCAAATGCGAATGCCATTTTTTACGGTCTGAGAGGTGGTAGAGCGCAAATTCTGTGCACTGCCTTTGAGTGAATAACATTCAGGCTGGGATGGGACATTTGGCATTTTGCATCGGTTGTCGCTAAGCCTTGTGCACTTTGAAGATGGGCACATTAAGTAAACAAACCTGACAACAACAATGTGTCCCTCTATCTTGGGTCTCGGCGAGCTGTACAAGACAAGCGAATAATCGCAAAGATCGTAATAAATTTTCCTTTCGTGTACCTGCTAATCTTATATGTACAGGCAATGATTTTCCGCCTTGATTCGAAGTTTTCATCTGCTATCCCAGATTACTTATTTCTGTGCCAGATTGTAAACCACAACAGAATTTAAATTTTAGCAGTTTCACCAAAAATGCTGCTTTGCATTTCTTGGTGCGGATTAAGTCGCATTTTTGGCAAACAATGAGATCAAGAATAAGTGCAGATAATATGAGTTAGTATTTCTGAAGACTTCGATAAAGGTGAACCTACGACATGTTCTGACTAAACTGAGCTAGCATAGACCTTATGGTTGAAAAGAAAAAAACATCAGATGAAGCACGAATAAGGATAAGGAATATTATTTTGCACTTTGAAGAAGCTAATTCCAAGCAAGCATATGTTTTATTTAATCGTTGCCACGTCTACCACGGTAAAAAAACTAATACTGTTTAATCTAAGTGGAGAATGGCATAACAAATCGTAGTTAAGGCAGGGTTTGTGGTTTACACCCGCGGCATGGAAACAATGAGGTAGGTTTGTCAATCGTATCTTTTGTAAGAATTAGTGAATAAGGATAATTTTATGTGACTGGAAACGGTATATTAAAATTTTTTAGGGAGGTACGGTTGTCATCCACTTGCGGCTATGTCGACGAACGCGAAATTAAGATCTTAAAGCGACAGTCGTGGCAGTATCCTTAACGCCAGACTACGTAGATTATTTAGTTCAAAAGAAGACGAAGGCACGATCACTGGGATAGTAGTTTTATTGACCTGAGCTTTGGAACTCGAACTGGAGTTCATAGTCAGAGACTGCTAGAGTGCAGCAACGTGTGAGCATTTATATCGTAGTTCCATGCGGGGGGGGGCTACGTCTGTGGCTGCGTCTGGTTTGTGCCGCCTGTTCCACGATGGTCCCTGGCGTGGTGACGCCGTTTGTACATCGCGACAATGTGAGCTGCTCCACCTGGCTGCGTGGGCGGAACGCGTGATGACACGCAGGCAAATCGATGTGTCTATTGATAGAGTTGGTGTCCGACACCCACGCCTCCAACAGTTCTCATCCCGTCTTGTTGCCGGCTCGCGCCAATATCCGCGTGTTGGCGAAATCCAACTCATGGCCTTCCTCTAGCGTGTGAGTGGAGACTTGAGATAGTGGGTCGCCTCTTCGAATGGCCCGTTTGTGTTCAAGTATTCGTGAGCTGAGACGTTGTCCTGTCTGGCCTGTATAGTGGCAAGGACAGTTTGGCACGGGATTTGATAGACTACGTCCGACTGTTCACCTCCGTCCAGCCGAACCTTCATTTTCATGATCTTGCTTCGCATGATAGCTGCCGGATGATGAGCGATGCCCACGCCTAGCTCTGACGCAATGCGTTCTGTAGCTTCGAACACATTCTTTATGCACGGTAGGGAGTGCCAAATTGTTGGTGTCTCTTCTGTTTGTCCGTCGTGAGTGCGTGCGTATGCAGCAACTGATAAAACTGTTTGGGTAGCCGTTCTTTGTTAATTGGTCCCGGAGATGCCGTAGTTCTTGCATTCTTCCTTCGGGCTTGTTACAGTGCGTTTTTAGCCGGTCGAAAAGCACCTTCACACAGCCTCGTTTGTGCACCAATGGGTGGTTGCTATGATAACTGAGAATCTGGGTTGTATTGGTCGCCTTCCTGTACACTGTAGTGCTGAGTTTACCGTCAGGTGTGCGCGTG